AGCCCAATTTGTCCTGTAAAAAAAACGCGGTATAGTCCACCTGGATGTACAAAGTAGTTGTGATGATACGGACGGTTTTACTAACACAGGTCAACATTGCAAAAGTGTGCTTAGGCATTAAGAATTGTTTTACCCTTAGGGGTGAAGGGGTTAAAATAGTTTTATACGCTACAAAAATACCATCTACATACTGCTCTATAAGAGCTCTCCTGCTTCTCCTATTTTTCCAGGGGACCCCAGAAACCTTCTTCCCCCCTTTTTTACTTTGTACATCTTTGAGGACCACTAGCTACAAACACAATAAAGCTCTGCAGTAGTACGCTCGCCTGGCAAACTCGCTCTCCCTAGAAGCACTGTCAGATGTTAAAAACCATCAAAAACAATCACTGGTCAAGGTTTGCATCTCAGCGAAGGTCAGGGTCAACACTTTGGTTAATTATGTTTTTTTCAATGCATGGTTGCAAATTTCGGCTCGGCAATTCCCATCAAATCTTCCCAAAAGTTTAGATTGAATCTGAATCTTTGAACAGACAACCATGGCTTTCTCAGGGATCACATTTATGCAGTTCCTCAATCCGGCATGAGCTAGTGTTTCCTCTGATCCCACACCTTGGCATACCACTGTAACAATGTTCATCAGAGTAGCCACCTGTAGGTTATTTACATGACCTCCCACTTTTTTCCAAACAAGCAACAGTGAAGGTGATACCCCTGTCACATGTAGATAGTAGACTGAGACTCCACCATTCTAGACTTTGGTCTGCTACATGCCCACCTTGGTTGCAGATGAAACCCTTTCAGATATTCACATGTGTAGGTTTGGATGCCAATGCAGGTGGCTGTAAAGATGCAAATTTGGGGGGGATAACTGGGAAATATGGGCAAGGGAGGGGGTCATTTTGTGCACTTCTAAACTTGTGGAAACAATTTAGGGAAGACTGATTTTTGTTACAGCATGACTGTGTCCATGTGCATAAAACCAGCTCCATAATGAAATGGTTTAATTAGTTTGGTGTGGAGGAACTTGAGAGTCCCGCACAGAGCACTGACCTCAACCCTACTGAATATGTCCTCCATACTTCTTCCATAATAAGTGTACTGCACAGCAGATTTATTAAAAAAAATAGATCTGGACCCTGATTTATCCCATAGCTGATAACGTAAACTTTACATGATTCACACATCAATAACTACCAAGGGAAGAAGACCTTATTAATGAACACAAAGAAACATAAACATATTTCTGGATCATCTTGTGTCATGAGGCCGCAGTGAGATCTCAGAGGTGTAATTAGATTCAGAATACATTATATATATATATATATATATATATATATATATTTATTTATTTATTTTAATTCCAAAGGGAACTAAGTAATGAGACACAGGAGGATTATGGCTGGAGATCTCAGGAGGATTCCAAATGCTTTTATACATGGTGAGATGGTGCAGGGTGGGGGAGAACCTGCCTGTGTGTCCTCTGCACCTGACACTCCCATCTCCTCTATAGAACTGGCTGAAGGAACCCGACCAACACAAGATCTGATAACAAGACATCTATAGGACACATTGTATCTGTCTAGAACAGGAAGGTGTTGGCTGCTTTATACATGAAATATTCTTCTACAAGGTGATCAATCCTTCCTGACCATTATACAGAGTTGTAATGTCAGATATTCCTCATCTCCATCCCCTGTATTCCCGTACACAGACCCCATCCATCATCAGTAAGGGATTCTGAATATACAGGTGAGTGGTTACAATGTGTCTTCTCACACTTTCCTGGTATATTCTGCTCTGCTCCCACATCAGTTTGGGATGGTGAAAGAGAATTCCAGACATCTGATGACTCCAGTCTGTGTATTCCTCAGAAAAGGGGCCCCATAATGATGAGATGTTCTGGGGTTCAATTTTTACTGTACAAGTCATAAAATCAATCACACCCAACTTTACACCGACCCCCCTTCCTGAGCATTGCTGCTATTCCTTCTTATCATTTTACAGATGAGACAATTCTGGATTCATATCTTATGAAGTTCAAAGAATTCACAAACTCCAATTCACCAACTTTGTCCCCGGCTACTGAACCCGACATATTATAGTCATACTCGGGGGGATTTATGTTACTTAACCATGCTCATCTCTCTCTCTGTATTGTTTATTGATGTGTCTTTACCTGTGTATTGTCTGTTGTACCTGAACTACTTCTAATGATAATCTATTCATCAATTAATACATTCTTATATTGTCACTCAGCTTTTTATTACTGAATGTAAGATATACAGAGACTGATGTGACTGGCTCAGTGTTCTCTGTACAGCGCTGCGGTATATGTCAGAGCTATATAAATGTATAATAATAATAGTGTGTGACTGTGGGGGAGGGGACATTAGAGTGTAAGCTCCTCTGGTACAGAGACTGATGTGTCACCAAAGATCCATTATCTCCTGCGCTCAAGGACTCAGATCAAACAGGCGTTAGTGACAAGCAGCGTGTTGTGTATTCATCCGCTGGTGATCAGAGGTTGTGCAGCTCTATCATGAAGCTGGGGAAGCTTAATAAAACTGTAGAGGAAGATGAAAGAAAGAGCGCACAAACCTTGCGCATTACCTCAATAAATAGTGACTAATTTTATTAATAAGGAAAGACACTAAACAGGCTGAACTGCTGTAATACTGACACTCAGTGGCTGAATATCTCCTTGCCATGGGAACTCTGCCATACTGAAGTTTCTATCTGCCAAACCCAGCTCTGATGAAGAAGGGAGCACCCTTCGAAACGCGTTAGCCTTCATCCCCCCCTTTTTGATTTACCTGTAACCCTGTTTGGATTATGGTTACTTATGCCTGTTATACAATCATTTTGTGAGTATATTTCCTTATTAATAAAATTAGTCACTATTGAGGTAATGCGCAAGGTTTGTGCGCTCTTTCTTTCATCTTCCTCTACAGAGACTGATGTGACCAGGGGCGGACTGACCATTTGGAAACTTGGGCACTGCCCGAGGGCCTGGGGTCAGTAGGGGGCCCCATGAGATGCCCCTGGTACCTTTTTCATAGGCTTTTTTGAGTTTGGGCAAGGACACAGGGGCCCCATGATCCCCTATTGCCCGGGGGGCCCCATGAGTTGTCAGTCTGCCCCTGGATGTGACTGTGGGGGAGGGGACATTAGAGTGTAAGCTCCTCTGGTATAGAGACTGATGTGACTGTGGGGGAGAGGACATTAGAGTGTAAGCTCCTCTGGTACAGAGACTGATGTGACTGTGGGGGAGGGGACATTAGAGTGTAAGCTCCTCTGGTATAGAGACTGATGTGACTGTGGGGGAGGGGACATTAGAGTGTAAGCTCCTCTGGTACAGAGACTGATGTGACTGTGGGGGAGGGGACATTAGAGTGTAAGCTCCTCTGGTACAGAGACTGATGTGACTGTGGGGGAGGGGACATTAGAGTGTAAGCTCCTCTGGTACAGAGACTGATGTGACTGTGGGGGAGAGGACATTAGAGTGTATATGTCAGAGCAATGTATAAGTAAAATAAATATATATTCAGGACCTCCAATTGTATTTAGCATATATGATTTGTATTTATAATTAGCTCCACCTGTAACAGAATGATCTTACTGTGTGAAGTTATCACGATTCCTCTGGGAACTGATTATGAATCATAGACTTAGGCTCTGATCACTACCTGCCCATTGTATGCTTTGAAACATAAAATAAATGTTTTCTTGGTATTGAATGCTGTGTCTGTTTACATGGAAATATCTCAGAGACAATTTTCAAACTGCAGTTTGGTATATATATATATATATATATATATATATATATACAGTATATAGTGTATATAACCTATAACCTTTTGGTTTGGATAACGAATTGGATTTGTACTGATTTGTTTTCTTTTTGTAGGTTTACTCATGTATTCACTGGATGTCTTCTTTCATTGAATGTGAGAGAATCGCAGAAGCCGTCATTTTTTTATTTTCTGTATTCTACTTATTGTTATTTTGTTTCACCCGGACTTGTAACAATTGACTGAAAAGATTGAAACAAACATTCACTGTTTTTAATTGTTATAGAAGATCTGCCTGAAACTGTCACCATTATGTATTGCTATTTTTGAACTTAAATAAAGTTTTATACTTTAATTTTTTTTGTATAGTTAATATACCGCAACCCTTCCATCGATTGGACTTCCTGCTGGAGGGTCCTGGTTGGTGCCATTCATCCTGTTTAGCCGGTACTCTTCACCTTTTCCTCTACATACAGTATATATATATTTATTTATTTTTTTTTTTAATTGGTGTTATTGATTCTTTACAGTCTAGTGACCAGTGTCTTCTCCAGTACAATGTCTTCCTGAATCCTCCCGTTGTCACTATCTTAGTGAATTATTTGGTTATGATGGGAAATCAAACTTCTCAGTCTGAATTCATTTTTCTTGGCCTGTCAGATCTCACGGATTCTCAGATCCCTGTATTTCTCTTAATCCTCCTCATCTATGTAGCCACACTGGTTGGAAATCTTCTAATCATTTTCCTGGTGGTCTCAGACTACCACCTGCACACCCCCATGTACTTATTCTTGGGAAACCTCTCAGTTTTAGACATCCTCACCCCCTCTGTGTCTTCTTCTCATTTGTTTTTTGACATCTGTACTGGCAACAGGCTGATTTCATACCCAACTTGTATCTCGCAGGTCTTCTTCTTCACCTGGTTTGCCAGCACTGAGTCCTCCATACTTACAGTGATGTCCTATGATCGCTATGTTGCCATCTGTCATCCTCTGCATTATAAAACCATGATAAACATTCGCTTGTGTGTTCAGCTAGCGTTCTTTTTCTGGGTCTACAGATTTGGCTGTATCTTGGTACACACACTTTGTTTGCTAAGACTGGCCTTCCCTGACCCCGCCACCATCCCAGGCTTCTTCTGTGAATTATATCAGCTGATTCACCTATCGTGTTCTGACAGCTTCCTGAATTATTTACTTTTATATGTAGAATCTATCATTCTTGGAGGGCACCAGCTTTATCATTACTTTCCTCTCCTATGTCTACATTTTCAAAACCATCCTGAAAATTACATTGAAGGATGGAAGACGGAAAGCTTACTCCACCTGCAGTTCCCACCTCACCGTGCTCTTCATTTTTTACGGGACTGGGTTTTTCAACTACTTCCAACTCAAAACTAAGGATGTTCTGGCAGGCCGACTGATTTCTGCATTTTACACAATTGTCACCCCTCTCCTAAACCCGGTTATATACAGCTTGAGGAACAATGACCTGAAAGGAGCGCTTCGGAAAACTCTGTCCAGAATCGGTTCCACGCCATAAACTGTCACTGAAGGAGGTCTCAGGACTGCTTGAGTTTAAAATTCATTTGCTGGGTTTTCATTTTAGATAGGTGAGAAACGTCTTCATTTTGATATGTAGAGACACGGCCAAAAGATGTCCAATCACTGAAATCTGATAGAAGAGCAGAATATCCTAACCATAACACATCTTGCTGCTTAATAAAACAAAAAAAAAAACAAAACAAAAAGGACAATTAAACCTATAGAAATCCTCGATGCCCTAATGTCTTCTTCACTCTGTTCACCTAAGGGGTTAATCCTATGCTTTGTGTAAAAATATCGTTTGATCCTGTCTTCTCAGATCATCCCCTTTTTCCAGTGTCCCCCTCTTATCTCCTGAAAAGACATATCGTGCACATGCTCAGTCTGGTGAGTATTGCTAGAGAGTTTTTTTTGGGGGGGAGGGGAGTGCATGTGATCAGCACAGGGCCAATCAGCACTGTCCAGGCAGAGATTATGGATCCTGCATCCTCTGAGAGCACAAAGAAAGCTCCTCCTACAAGCTTAATCAGTGCTCTGCTGGACACTGATAGGAGTCACAAGACTGCTCTATACTTCTGATGAGAAAAGGTATTTAGAAGTTTATATTTACTAAAATAATTGCATTTCCATGTTCTGTGTACTGTGGGAGAGCGGATATAGTGAATGCGGGTCCAGGGAGAGCGAATATAGTGAATGCGGGGTCCAGGGAGAGCGGATATAGTGAAAACGTAGGGTCCAGGGAGAGCAGAATAGTGAATGCAGGGTCTGAGGAGACCCGATATAGTGAATGCAGGGTCAGGGGAGAGCGGATATAGTGAATGCGGGGGGTCCCAAGGAGAGAGGATATAGTGAACGCAGGGTCCAGGGAGAGCAGATATAGTGAATGCAGGGTCTGAGGAGACCCGATATAGTGAATGCAGGGTCCTGGGAGAGCGGATATAGTGAATGCGGGGTCCGGGGAGAGCGGATATAGTGAATGCAGGGGTCCGGGGAGAGCGGATATAGTGAATGCGGGGTCCAGGGAGAGCGGATATAGTGAATGCGGGGTCCGGGGAGAGCGGATATAGTGAAGTGGGGTCCGGGGAGACCAGATATAGTGAATTCTGGGTCAGGGAAGAGGGGATATAGTGAATGCAGGGTCCGGGGGAGAGCGGAATATAGTGAATTCGGGTCCGGGGAGAGCGGATATAGTGAATGCTGGGTCCGGGAAGAGCGGATATAGTGAATGTGGGGTCCGAGAGAGCGGATATATAGTGAATGCAGGGTCCGGGAAGAGCGGATATAGTGAATGCAGGGTCCAGGGAGACCAGATATAGTGAATGCAGGGTCCGGGAGAGCAGATTATAGTGAATGCGGGGTCCAGGGAGAGCAGATATAGTGAATGCGGGGTCCGGGAGAGCGGATATAGTGAATGCGGGGTCCGGGGAGAGTGGATATAGTGAATGCGGGGTCCGAGGAGAGCAGATATATAGTGAATGCAGGGTCCGGGGAACCAGAAATAGTGAATGCGGGGTCCGAGGGAGAGTGGATATAGTGAATGCGGGGTCCCGCCGGGAGAGCAGATATAGTGAATGCGGGGTCCGGGGAGAGAGTGGATATAGTGAATACCGGGTCCGGGGAGACCAGCTATAGTGAATGCGGGGTCCGGGGAAAGCGGATATAGTGAATGCGGGAATCTGAGTAGAGCGAATATAGTGAATGCAGGGTCCGGGGAGATCGATATAGTGAATGCAGGGTCCCAGGAGAACGGATATAGTGAATGCGGGGTCCGGGGAAAGCGCATATAGTGAATGCGGGGTTCGGGGAGAGTGGATATAGTGAATGCGGGGTCCGGGGAGAGTGGATATAGTGAATGCAGGGTCCGGGAGAGCGATATAGTGAATGCAGGGTCCGGGGAGAGCGGATAAGTGAATGCAGGGTCCGGGGAGAGCGGATAAAGTGAATGCAGGGTCCGGGAGAGTGGATATAGTGAATGCAGGGTCCGGGGAGAGCGATATAGTGAATACGGGGTCTGGGAGAGTGGATATAGTGAATGCGGGGTCCGGGGAGAGTGGATATAGTGAATGCGGGGTCTGGGGAGAGTGGATATAGTGAATGCGGGGTGTCCGGGGAGAGCGATATAGTGAATGCGGGGTCCAGGGAGAGTGGATGTAGTGAATGCAGGATCCGGGGAGACCAGATATAGTAAATGCAGGTCCGGGGAGACCAGATATAGTGAATGCAGGGTCAGGGGTTTAGGGGACACTTTAACTTTTACAATTTAAAGTTATAGCTCTCTTAGCATAAAAAAAAATTGGAAATGAGGGAACATTTTTGTTTATTGGACATATTGGTGTGAATATCTCTGACTAAACAATCAGAAACAGGCTTCATGAGGGTGGTCTGAGTGCTCAACATCCTCTAGTGGGCCCTGTGCTCACTACCTGGCACCATAGAGCTGGATAGGCATTGGCCATTGAACACCAGAATTAGCAGGTCCACCACTGGCCCCCTGTGCTTTTCACAGATGAGAGCAGGTTCCCCCCTGAGCACATGTGACAGACGTGAAAGGGTCTGGTGAAGCCGTGGAGAACATTCTGCTTCCTGTAACATGGTTCAGCATGATCATATTGGTGGTGGGTCAGTGATGGTCTGGGGGAGGCATATCCATGGAGGGACGCACAGACCTCTACAGGCTAGACAATGGCACCCTGACTGTCATTAGGTATCGGGATCACCAGACCAGTTTAAGTCAGCAATTGCATTCCTGATTGCCGCTATTCCAATTTCACTGTCACTTAGACCAGTGTAAGCCAAGCAACGGTGTTATGTCACTGATCACCACAACACCAGTCACAGTTTCAGAAGATTAGTGTATAGGCAGCAACCAGTGTTCCCGATAGCAGCCACAGCAGTCCCAATGTCACCAAACCAGTGTGTGCCAACAACTTTGCTCCTAAAAACCTACCACAACAGACCATTTTAAGACCAGCAGCAGTGTTCCTGACTATGCCACACCAATCCCAGTGTCACCAGACCAGTGTGCACCAACAAACATTGTTCCTGAAACCTACCACACCAGCCCCAGATTCACCAAAACAGTGTAAGCCAAGCAACAGTGTTTCTGATTGCTGCCCACACTAGTCCTTAATGTTGCAAGACTAGTGTAAGCTAGCAACAGTGTTCCTGTCTCAGCCCCAAACTAGTCCCATTGTCACCATACCAGTGTAGGTCATCAAAATTGTTCCTGATCAACCTGATCAAGAGACCATTCCCCTCTATACGGGGCTCTGTGTTGAATGTCAGCATAGACCTCTGGGCTGTGATTGGACACAGCCAATCAGCATGTCCCTGAATCATTGGCTGGGACTTGCTGACAGGGCTCCCGCTGTGTACAAATCACATTGAAAGGGAAATTTGTGTACGAGCGCACCTGTAAAATAGCAGCTGAACATCAGGTAACCATACACCCTAAAAAAACAATATAAATCATCAAGATGCAGCGCTACAGAACCGAAATGTTTTAAGTAAAGGTGAATAACTAAATCAAATGAATAAATAAATCAATACATAGATGACTGAACAGATGCAAACAGTTCATAGAATAAGGTGACTTTTAGTGCTCTCTCCGTGATACACAGCAGTGTATTATAAAAAGTGGCAAATCCCCCCAGACGACGTGCGTGTGCACGAAACGCGTAGGAGGAGCCAGGAAACGCCGTGACGTCACGCCGCCGGAGCATCGTGGAGCTCCGGCGGCCATATTTACCATTGGACGGTCAGTCCACACTGCTGTGTATCACGGATACTTGATGTGTTAATAAATCCTCTTTTAATTACCTACTACACTATGGATATCGTCTTTTGTCTTGACTCCCTTGGGGGGAGTATCCATTTGAAGTTACTCATCTCTCTGCTGGGTAAGGAACGCATGTAAGCTTTAAGGAGAAGTCCATAGGCCACCTACCAAGGGATCTCACAGGAATATCCAGAGCTCTGGAGGGAGGCTATCATACTAACCTTATCCTGACCAGCTGATGACTCTAAGGGGAATTTATATTGACAAACGCTCATTTTCCTGTGCGTTCTGGTGAGTGTGCATTTCTTCAGCACTATTTCGCACAAACGCCTGAGCATCAGGAGGATATGAAATAGAGGAGAGCACTAAAAGTCACCTTATTCTATGAACTGTTGCATCTGTTCAGTCATCTATGTATTGATTTATTTATTCATTTGATTTAGTTATTCGCCTTTACTTAAACATTTCGGTTCTGTAGCGCTGCATCTTAGGATTTATACAATCACATTGGGAGTAGGTTGTAAGGGCACACGTGCCCTAATCCCAGAAACAGGCAGTGACCTACAGATGAGGTGCTTTGTCGGTTCGGGCCACTCGTCCTCAGTAGATTGCGGACAGGCGGGCAGCAGGTGGATAGGTAATGCTACACTAAGCTATGTTCCCTGATCACTCGTCCAGAGGAATCCATTACAGAACACTGTTATTGATACAACCGGTGATTTTTGTGATACACAAGATACAATGTCAAGTGCATAATCAGCCCAAACAATAAAAGCATCTCACGCATGTGGTATCCCCATAAGAGTAGCAGAATATGTTTTTGGGGTGTAAATCTAAGTATGACTGTGCTGTGTGTGTAAAATATCTTAATAATTGACAGCTTTAATTTTCTTTCCATATTTTTCAAAAACATTTCGCATAAACTGACATTTTCAAAAGACTCCCTATGCCTTCCTAAAAATATTTGGGTGTTTTTTCTTTCCAAAATGTGGTCATTTTGTAGGTGTTTCTACTTGTCTTACAATTCAGGGCCTCCAAATATGTGATAGGTAGTCTGGAAATTAAATGCATAATGTATGCCTCTTGAAAATCTGAAGGTGATCCTTTGATTTTGGGACCCCTATATTTTGGATAGGCCATTCACAATCTAATACTAAGGTCACAATACAGACGTGTTGATATGGTAGAACAATCCTTGCATCCTGGACACTATATGGATGCAATATGTGAGCACGCCCCCAAAAGGTGTTTCCAGTGAAGGGTCCTGTCAATGCTAAATCATATTAAGATATTTTAGACAGTTTATGCTCTTCCAAATTGTGGTAATAATTTGGTCAAGGCCTTTTTCTGTTTCACCATGACTGTGCCCCAGCATACAAAGCTAGCTCCATGGTTTGACCAGTTGGTGCGGAGGAAGCTGAGTGTCCTGTACAGAACCCTGACTTCAACCCTACAGAACACATCTGCCATACTTCTCTCATGACACAGGCACTTCACAGCAGATGTCCTTTACCACAAAATGGATCAGTTTTCCACAAAAAAAAAAACACAAAGCTCTGTATTGTTTGTCTTGTGTCACAAGGCCACAGTGAGATCTCGGCAGTGTAATGGGTAATCATAAGCAGGGGCGGACTGACCATTTGGAAACTCGGGCACTCAATAGGGGACCCTATGAGGTGCCCCTGGTACCTTTTTCATAGGTTTTTTTTTTTTTGAGTTTGGGCAAGGACACAGGGGCCCCAGGATCCCCTATTGCCCGGGGGCCCCAAGAGTTGTCAGTCCCGCCCCTGATAGCATCCATTGTCTTTTAGAGTGCTACTAATGCAACCTTTTCCTCCTCCTCAAGGACACATGGCCACCATTATTTTGGAGCACTGATAATGCACCCATGAGTTGTCAGTCTGCCCCGATCATGAGTAATGATTTTCATTTATTTGTGTTGAGTACATTTTACCTTATTCACTTATTAATCATAGCAAAGTAAAAAAAAACAAAAAAAAAACTTTGTAAAGAAAGAAACACAAAGATATTTTTGGATCGTCTCGTGTCATGGGGCCGCAGGAGGATCTCGGCAATGTAATGAGACACAGGAGGGATATGGCTGGAGATCTCAAGAGGCTTCTAAATGTTTTTAAATGGAGAGATAATGGAGAGGGAAGAAAGAGAGGGAATCTGTGTTTAATATATATCTGACACGTCAAACTCCTCTATAGAAACTGGCTGAAGGAACCCGACCAACACAAGATCTGATAACGAGACATCTACAGGACACATTGTATCTGTCTAGAACAGGAAGGTGTTGGCTGTTTTATCCATGAAATATTCTTCTACAAGGTGATCAATCCTTCCTGGCCATTATACAGTATTGTAATGCCAGATATTCCTCATCTCCATCCCCTGTATTCCCGTACACAGACCCCATCCATCATCAGTAAGGGATTCTAAATATACAGGTGAGTGGTTACAATGTGTCTTCTCACACTTTCCTGGTATATTCTGCTCTGCTCCCACATCAGTTTGGGATGGTGAAAATGAGAATTTCAAACATCTGATGACTCCAGTCTGTGTATTCCTCAGAAAAGGGGCCCCGTAATGATGAGATGTTCTGGGGTTCACTTTTACCATAAGAGTCATACAAACACTCACACCCAGCTTTACACCGCCCCCCCCCCCCCCAATCATTGTTTGCTATTCCTTCCTATCATTTTACAGATCTCTACATACTAAGACTTTACATGGAGGAAAGATTTCATGGTGGGAATGTAGAAGACAAAGAATACAGAATGGATCCAATGTTTGGTTGCAGATCTGGTGTCATTGGATGAAATGCTCTGACACTGAAACTCATCCAAATATTGGATTCCATTATTATTCAGGAATCAGGGATATTTATATTACACAACAACTCTAATCTCTCCCTATGTGTTGGTCGTTGTTGTGTCTTTACCTGTCTGTTGTCTGCTGTATCCAAACTAAATCCAATGATAATCAATGTATTACCAATAAATAAAGCAATATAGAAAACAATGAATACATTCTTATTATCACAGTCAGCTAGTCATTTACAGTAAAATATACAGAGACTGATGTGATTGTGGGGGAAGGGACATTAGAGTGCCAGCTCCTCTGGTACAGAGACTGATGTGATTGTGTGGGGAGGGACATTAGAGCGCAAGCTCCTCTGGTACAGAGACTGATGTGAGTGTGGGGGGAGGGGACATTAGAGTGTAAGCTCCTCTGGTACAGAGACTTATGTGACTGTGGGGGAGGGGACATTAGAGTGTAAGCTCCTCTGGTACAGAGACTGATGTGACTGTGGGGGAGGGGACATTAGAGTGTCAGCTCCTCTGGTACAGAGACTGATGTGACTGGCTCAGTGTTCTCTGTACAGCGCTGCGGTATATGTCAGAGCTATATAAATGTATAATAATAATAGTGTGTGATTGTAGGGGGACATTAGAGTGTGAGCTTCTTTGATAAAGAGACTAATGGGACTGGATTAACCCCTTCAGTACCAGACACTCTCACCCCCTTTCTTGCTCTGGCCAATTTTTAGTATTTTAGCAATGTCACACTTTGAATGACAATTACTTGGTGGAATTTAATCATCACTGGGGTTTTTTTTGCTTTTATTTTTTGATAGATAAACAAAATAAGATCACACATTTTGAAAACAAAATGCATTTTTTCTGTAACCATGTAATGATGAGATGTTCTGGGATTCACTTTTTACCATAAGAGTCATACAAACACTCACACCCAGCTGTACACTGCACCCCCCCCCCCCCCCCCGATCATTGTTGCTATTCCTTCCTATCATTTTACAGATCTCTACATACTAAGACTTTACATGGAGGAAAGATTTCATGGTGGGAATGTAGAAGACAAAGAATACAGAATGGATCCAATGTTTGGTTGCAGATCTGGTGTCATTGGATGAAATGCTCTGACACTGAAACTCATCCAAAGATTGGATTCCATTATTATTTAGGGATATTTATAATACACAACAACTCTAATCTCTCCCTATGTGTTGGTCGCTGTTGTGTCTTTACCTGCTGTATCCAAACTAAATCCAATGATAATCAATGTATTTACCAATAAATAAAGCAATGAAGAAATCAATGAACACTTTCTTATTACCACAGTCAGCTAGTCATTTAAAGTACAATATAGAGAGACTGATGTGACTGTGGGGGAAGGGACATTAGAGTGCCAGCTCCTCTGGTACAGAGACTGATGTGACTGGGGGGGAGGGGACATTAGGGTGTAAGCTCCTCTGGTACAGAGACTGATGTGACTGTGGGGGGAGGGGACATTAGAGTGCCAGCTGCTCTGGTACAGAGACTGATGTGACTGTGTGGGAAGGGAACATTAGAGTGCCAGCTGCTCTGGTACAGAGACTGATGTGACTGTGGGGGAGGGACATTAGAGCGCAAGCTCCTCTGGTACAGAGACTTATGTGACTGTGGGGGAGGGGACATTAGAGTGTAAGCTCCTCTGGTACAGAGACTGATGTGACTGTGTGGGGAGGGACATTAGAGCGCAAGTAACACTGCTACTCTGAGGAGGTGACAAGCATTTTGTTTATTTACACATTATAATCACTTATAATAGTTGTACTCACTGTTATAAAAAAAACAAAACAAAACATTTTTTTCTGAATGAAACCAATTCATTCTGTGAGTACTATTGTGATAAGCTGTGATTGGCCACAGCTATTCACAGTGCAGATGGGTTGTGATTGGCCCTGTCTGCACCATGTGATCACTGTGACCAATTGCAGTGAGTAATACAACAGTGCACAATGAATGGCATGAGTGAATGTGATCTGTTGTGATTGGTCTCAGGGATCACATGTACAAGCTGCAGCTCAGTACAATGGTCTGTCATCAGCTGTGAAGGGATGGACGCTACTGAATCGACTCAAGGAGTCCAATGTTGAGCCCACCCAAAAGAACACCATTAAAAAAACTCTTTAAGCTGCAGCTTGGCTCACGGGTTCACATAAATATATGTTCGTGTTCTTTTTAATCTTTTTTTCAGTGAAGCTCATGTGACATACATTGTAATACTCATCTTTTTTTCCAATTTCGTGCAAAACATTCAAATTGATCTAACATGAAAAATATGTTAACTATATTTTGTTTATTTTCAATGTCTTGGTGTGAATGATCCTTTACAGCCTAGTGACCAGTGTCTTCTCCAGTACAATGTCTTCCTGAATCCTCACATTACCGCTTCCTCTCTTAGTGGATTATTTGGTTCTGATGGGAAATCAAACTTCTCAGTCTGAATTCATTTTGCTTGGCCTGTCAGACCTCACAGATTCTCGGATCCCGGTATTCCTGCTGATCCTCCTCATCTATGTGGCCACACTGATTGTTAATCTTCTCATCATTTTCCTGGTGGTCTCAGACTTTCACCTGCACACCCCCCATGTACTTTTCTCTGGGAAACCTCTCAGTTTTAGACATATTTAACTCCTCCATTGCAACATCTCATATGTTTTTTTATATATTTACTGGAAACAGGTTGATTTCATACCCAGCTTGTATCACCCAGGTCTTCTTCTTCACCTGGTTTATCAGCACTGAGTCCTCCATACTCAATTTGATGTCCTATGATCGCTTTGTTGCCATCTGTCATCCTTTGCATTATACAACCATGATAAGCATTCGCTTGTGTGTCCAGGCAGCGTTCTTTTCCTGGCTCTTCAGATTGGGCTGTATCATGGTACACACACTTTTGACACTAAGACTGGCCTTCCCTGACCCCGCCACCATCCCAGGCTTGTTCTGTGAATTATTTCAGCTTCTACAACTATCATGTTCTGACACATTTCTCAATTATTTACTTTTATATGTTGACGCAGCAAGTTTTGGAGTCACTAGCTCCTCCATTACTTTCCTTTCTTATGTCTACATTTTCAAAACCATCCTGAAAATTAAATTGAAGGATGAAAGACGGAAAGCTTACTCCACCTGCAGTTCTCACCTCACCGTGGTCTTCATCTTTTATGGGACTGGGTTTTTCAACTACTATCAACCCAAAACTAAGGATTCTCTGGCAGGCAGATTGATCTCTTTATTTTATGCGGTTTTCACCCCTCTCCTAAACCCGCTTATATACAGCCTGAGAAACAGGGACCTAAAAGGAGCGCTTCAGAAAATTCTGTTCAGAATGAGATCCATGACCTGAATTTTCACTGAAGGAGAACTGCACAACAATGTTGTTAGTCTCAGGACTGCTTGTTTTTTTACTAGGTTGCCTGGTATTCTCTTTAGATAAGCGCAATTTGTAATGTTAATAAATACATGTTCTTAAATGAATCATTCCTTTGGTTGTAGTCAAGGATATGAACTTAACTTTTAAATAAAGGTAGATATTTAGGCTCATTAAAGGTCTCATGCCTAATGCTAATTGGGAATGGTTCTTTATGTTCTCCTGGAGTGCTGCAGAATAATGTGTAAATGTTTTAGATATGATTATCTTGTATATGGCCTTATTGTTCATATCAGGGGGGGGCCATCATTGTGTTGTGCACAGGCTGCTTTGGTCAGGTGCTTTGATCCCAGGTTCTATTCATAGTTACATAGTTAGCCTGGATGAAAAAAGGCAAAAGTTCCTCCAGTTCAACCATAAAAAAAGTTATAATCCTATACCCACAGTTGAACCAGAGGAAGACAAAAAAACCCAGCAAAGATTAATTTGATATAATTTGCGCCTACAAGGGAAAAATTCCTTCCTTATTCTCCGAGAGGCAATCGGATATTCCCTGGATCAACTTTACCTATAAATGTTAGTATCCAGTTATATTCTGTGTATCCAAGAAAGAATCCAGGCCTTTTATAGAGCAATCCACTGAGCTGGCCACAGGGGAGTCTATTCACATTTTCAGAGCTCTTACTCTGAAGAAACCTTTCTGTATTTGGAGGTTAAATCTTTTTTATATGCAATGCAAAGCGTAGGATGCAGTGGTATAAAGCACGCCATCACTGGACTCTAGAACAGTGGAGACATGTTCTCTGGGGTGATGAATCATGCTTCTCTGTCTGGCAATCCGATGGATGTGTCTGAACATGGCAGTTGCCAGAAGAATGGTACTTGCCCAGGGGCAAACTGACAACTCATGGGGCCCTCGGGCAATAGGGGATCATAGGGCCCCTGTGTCCTTGCCCAAACTCAAAAAAGCCTATGAAAAAGGTACCAGGGGCTTCTCATGGGGCCCCCTACTGACCCCGGGCCCTCGGGCACTGCCCGAGTTTCCAAATGGTCACTCCGCCCCTGTACTTGCCTAGTGAAAAGTATACCTTATGGCCCCACTCTAAGATATGGATGGTAGGAAAAAGATTGCCTCATTAGCAAGTGAGAAGAGGGGAGAATGAGTCGATTGCAGAGTCAACCAATGCAAGTGAAGAGATGGACGCTGCTCGACCGACCCCAGAAGTCCAGTGTTGAGGAATGGACTCAGCCGCCATTCTGGCCATGCTCTGTGATGTGTTTCTCTTGGTGACCAAGCTCCCCCAGTTGATGGGGCAAAATGCATCACAAGGCATGGCCAGAATGGCAACAGAGGTTATTTCTAAATATTGGACTCCTGGGGTCGTTTGAGCAGCACCCATCCCTTCACTTGCAATGGTACTTGCCTGACTGCATTGTGACTGTCCTGCACAGAGTCCTGTCCTCAATCCCATAGAACACCTTTGGGATGAATTAAAGTGGAGACTGCGAGCCAGGCCTCCTCCCCCGACATCAGTGCCTGACCTGACAAATGTGCTTCTGGAAGAATGGTCCAACCTTCCCATAGACACCCTCCTAAACCTTGTGGACGGCCTTCACAGAAGAGTTGAAGCTGTTATAGCTGCAAAGGGCGGGGCCAACTCAAGATGGAACCCTACGGACTAAGACTGGGATGCCATTAAAGTTCATGTGTGAGTAAAGGCAGGGGAACCAATAATTTAAATAGTATATATACAGTATTTACATTTCTGGAAAGTAAGCAAAAAAAAGTCTATTAGAGAAAAAGCTCATCAGAAAAAAACACAGATGGATTACACCACAAATCCCTAATGCAGGCATTAGAATCCTCAAGAGTAATTGAACTTAGTTTGCTTTTTTGTTGCTACTCTTCATAAGACTGGGAAATTTAAAAATAACATAAAATCAAGAAAGAAGAGCGCATACTAAGTGCAGGAAAGTTAAAGGCTTTAATAATAAAATCAAATGCAAATTGGCCACTCACACAATTAGCATAGAAAAGGAATGTCCTCAACACTCCCCAGCAGAGGCTCCTCTATACATTTACACTTGGACAGCAACATAGTCAGTTGGAGGAATAGCTGCAGCTGAAAGACAGACCAGAGTTCTGTGCACAGGCATAGTGCGTTACAGAGATTCTCCTGGATGATGTCACATGTGGGCGGAGCAGTAGGTGTTTTGAAGGAGGCCCTTCCTTTTTGTATCTTTTAAAATAATATACACCAAATAAAAAAACCCTCCAAATACTGCACTGTAGGGGCTCTCCCACCTCTACTTTAGGAGCCCTCCTTTTTTCCTGTACATCTTTGACCATCACTCTATGAACACTATAAAGATCTGCAGTAGTGCGCTCCTCTGGCAAACTCACTTTTATAAAAAGCGCCGTCAGCTTTCAATTAAAAACCAGTCTTTCACCAGAGCAGAGGTAAGATCCAAGAATTTGGCCAATAATGTTTTTTTGCAAAGCATTGTGGAATTCCCATTGAATGCCCCAAAAGTTCAAAAAGATACAAAAATACCATCTACATACTGGACTATTAGGGCTCTCATGCTTCTATTATTTTTTTTCCAGGGAAACCTCTTAGAGCTCCTTTCTGTTTCTATTTACCTTGTACATCTTTGAGGACCACTACCTACAAATACTAAAGTTCTGCAGTAGTACACTCCCCTGGCAAACTCACTCTCCCTAGAAACCATCAAAAATCATGACTGGCCTAAGACTTGAGTCTCAGCAGAGGTCAGGTTCAAGACTTTGGTAAATGATTGTTTTTTGCAATGCATTGTTGAAATTTCCATCTGGGCAATTCCCATCAAACGTCCCAATTGAATCTGAATCTCTGAACAGGCAACCATGGCTTCCTCTTGGATCACATCCATGCAGCTCCTCAATCCTGGATGAGCTAGAATATCCTATAATCATGATCCTTGGAGTTCGACTGTAACATGACGTGACAAGGTAACATCTGTAGGTTATCCACATGACCTCCTCCTACCTTTTCCTCAACAAACAACAGTGGAGGTGATGCACTTGTCACATTAAGTAGTTGTATGGGCCTCCTGCTTTCTAGACTTTGGCCTGCAACATGCCCAGCTTGGTTGCAGATGAAACACTTTCAGATAAGTTTGGCTTCTGTAGATACTGAAGCAGTTGGCTGTAAAGATACCATTTTGGGGGGAATAATTGGATAAATTGGGGTGATTTGGTGTGCATAGAAATTTGGGGAAGTCCCATTTTATTACAGCATGACTGCCTTTGTGAATAAAGCCAGCTTCATAAAGACATGTTTGATGTGGAGAAACTCGTGTGGAATCCACAGAGCCCTGATCTGAACCCTATTGAACACAACACAGGAGTGGACTAACCATTTGGAAACTCAGGGCACTGGCCGAGGGCTCGGGGTCAGTAGGGGGCCCCATGAGATGCCCCTGGTACCTTTTTCATAGGCTTTTTTGAGTTTGGGCAAGGACACAGGGGCCCCATGATCCCATATTGCCTGGGGGCCCCATGAGTTGTCAGTCCGCCCTTGACACAACCCCAATATTTTCCTAACAGCATGTGTACGTCACAGCAGATTAACCACTTGCCTACTTGCCAAACCAAATGTTTATCATTTTTGAGACAGATACAGCTTTTTTTTGGTGGTATTTAATCACCACTGTGTTTTTTCTTAATTTTTGCTAAACAAACTAAAAAAGACAAAACTTTGAAAAAAACATTTTTGGTTTCTGTTATTTAATTTTGTAAATAAGTATTTTTTCTCCTTCACTGATGTGTGCTGATGAGTTTGCACTGATAGACGGCACTGAAAGCCCTGGTGGGCTCTGAGGAAGAGGTTAAGTCCTCGAAATGCATCAGCCTGTTGAGATTCCATCGTTCTGTTACGTTATGATGTATTGCAGATTGCACTGTGCTGTCTCCATGCGATGAGCTTGTACTTTTAGCTTACTTTGTAAGTATAATATTTACTTTTTTTACACAATGAACCCATATTTTAAGGATAATGCACTAGGCCAGTGTGCCCTCTGTTTGTTTGTTATTTCAGTATCTCTAGACTTTCCCAGTCTTGTGAGGGCATCCTATGAGAGCCAAGACATAATTGCAGCCTATTGACCATTTTGGGCCCGCTCCCCAAGTTCAGGAGTGATAATGTTTTTTTGGAGACAAATCCATGGAGGGACGCACAGACATCTACAGGCTATACAATGGCACCCTGACTGCCATTAGATATCGAGGTGAAATCCTTGGACCCATTGTCAGACCATACGCTGGTGCAGTGGTGGAATGCTCACACATGTCCTAATTGGGGATAAGCTCTTGGTTTGGATAATACTTTGCTTTTTTTGTAAATAGTGATTTTTGACAAGCTGGCTTTGAAATGTTGGGTCTGGGGGTGACCAGAGGTGTGTTTTGATTTTGTTCCAGCAGGTATGGCAGAGAAACCTGCCTGCTCAATGCTAAATCGGGAGATGACAGGGCGGAGCTGGCAGATTCAAAGTGAGGTGTCAACCTATAAATTCCCGTACTCATTATATATCCACTATTGCCCTTTTCTCCACTGAAATAGACATAATGTAAACCTCTGACAGCCCCTTGTAATATCTTTATATATCACTTGAGGCTTCTGATAGGGAATCTTGTATAGTGGGTGTCTTGGAAATTCGCTTTCAACAAATTTTTCCTTACCGTGAGTACCCGCAGTTGGATGCGCAGCAATCCCCCTTAAAGCTGTGCAAACTTCGCTTACCACGACTGTAGCTTATCTCCATGATTCCTGCGCCTCCAACCGGTATGCAAAGATTTAGCTCTTTTGAAAAGTGGGGGAAAAAAGTGGGAAAAATGGAGCTCCCGTGACCCAGGAATGATCACACAACACTCTCAGGTTGGAGTTTGAATTCACTCTGTGTCCAGCTCTAACCCTGGACTCTTGTTTTATTCACTTACAAGAAACATACACGCCCTCCCCCACACGGGGGGGTCAGGTCAATCCCCTCCCACAGAACAATGCATAGGGAGTGTCCATACACGACAAGGTACATCCTGCTTGGAGTGTTTCCTCTTAAACCTATACTGAAAACCAGTTAAACCAGTCCTCCCCCTCCCCCTGGTGGCTCTCTTTGGAGAGCAAGCTTCCCATCCTTTACATGCTATCAGCTCCTAGCGGTATGTTCATTCTCTGTACAAGCATCCCTTAGATCAAACAGTGCCAGTCTGTATCTGAATGGGCCCGATACGATCTTTATTAAAACACATCCATCCAGATACAGTTCAGGTCGGTAGTGGCTTGTAGAGATACATATGAGCCTACACGCGGAGTTCGCACTGCCCGGCGCCTGGCCATACGAAGTCCATGTGGTACTATGCTGCTGATATGTGGATACAGGCCCGCGGCCCACCGCCGGCGGCATTCGCATCGAATGCTGTGGTGGTATACACGCCGGTCTATAAGCGCAGATCTGCCATCTCATCCATTACCGAGCTGAGTACTGTAATATATACATTGTAAATGTGCATGGCCCAATTGCAGCCTTCAGAGCTTTAATTAAGCCACACGAGAGACATATGAATAACACTAATATATGACACATTTAAAGTTCAACCTGTAATACAAAATTTCCATGACATGGGGTAGAGGTGGAAAGGGAGAAGAATGAGGGATGAGAAGGAGTAAGTTTTAGTAAATATGCCCCATTGCTACCATATTTATGTTCAATAAGGTCTCAAACAGGGGCGGACTGACCATTGGGGAACTTGGGCACTGCCCGAGGGCCCAGGGTCAGTAGGGGGCCACATGAGATGTCCCTGGTACCTTTCATAGGCTTTTTTGGGTGTGGTTTGAGTGTGGGCAAGGACACAGGGGCCCCATAATCCCCTATTGCCCGTGGGCCCCATGAGTTGTCAGTCCGCCCCTGGTCTCAAATCATTTTGATATTAAAAAAAAAATGTCAGGAATCTAGGAATGACCAGAAAGGTGTGGACTGACACAGGGAAACGCCGGCTTCAGGTATAGTATAATAATACAGTTTATTATTAGCCACCCAGATATATATATATATATATATATATATATATATATAAAACGCACAGTGAACAAACTAACCTTCCACTAATCTTAGGAGGTGCAGGAACACAGGCGTAGTCAGGGCTGGAGAGGTGGAATGGTCAGGCCGGCCGTAGGGTTCTGTAACGACTGCCTGGTGGTACCTCTAGCGGTCCTCAGGGCAGGATTCCCCAGGGCGCGGAGTCTAAGTCCCAGTCTGCTTATTCACCAGGGCCCCTGATGGTGGGGATGGACTTGGAGCAGACAGGAACCAGGTCGCGGCCCCTGAGTACACCTGCTAGTGGTAGAGGGATCCGCCCGAGGTATGTGCAGGTAGAAAGCCTGATGTGAAGAGGCAGAAGGTGTGAGCAGGGACGGCTGGATCCGTGCAGATTGATGGATGGCAGAGTAGTTAGTGTGGTCAGACGGGCCAGGTCAGCAACGTGCGGGCAGCAAGGTACCAAAGGAGCAGGCAGAGAATGGTCAGGGTCACAAGCTGGGTTCAGTAACTCACGGGCAGCGCGGTACAGGGGATCAGGCAGAAGGATGGTCAGGCAAGTCAGGGGTTCAACAGGAGGCGGTCAGCAGAGGTCAGGATCAAGCAGGGTCAGCAACAAAGCAGGAACACAGGATACCAGGTACAGGGGCTCATGGGAAAACATACACCAAGGCCCAGATCACAGGCCTGGTCATGCCTTAAATACACCTTCTGCAATCAGCCCCAGGTTTGGCTGATTGCAGGAGTGAGCTTCTGGCTGCTGAGAGCACCCGCTGGGTCAGCTCTGGTACTGCAGCCCACATGGCAGGTGAGTCCCACCACCAGTGCTGAGTCCATTCCTGACAAAAAACTTCTAATTACCTTTTCCAACAGTCTACTTTATCTGTTAGAGCCAGTTCTTAGGGAAGACCTTTCCACGTAATCACAGTTTTTACAGTAAAATGTATTCTACAGCTTGGGAACAAACCAAGAATGAACTTGTATCTCTTTTGGTGACCTTAAAGAATGAGAATTTAGCTTGAATGAAATCTGTATTTTGGTTGGAAGATCTTCCTAAAAAATGAAACACTTGCCGTTCTGAATTCCTGGTTCCTCAGACTGTATATCAAAGGATTGAGGAGAGGAGCGATCGCCGTGTAAAAGACGGACACCACTTTATCAGCAGCAAAATGATTATTAGCGCTCGGGCGAAAATAATTAAAGGAAATGGAGAAATAAAATATGAAAACCACTGCCAAGTGAGAGGTACAAGTAGAAAAAACTTTACCTCTTTTCCCTTTAACTTGCATTTTTAGGACAGTTTTTATTATATAAGTGTAAGACATAAACATCAGAACCAAAGACCCGCCTCCAAGAAAGCTACTGAGAAGAAAAACAAGCACAATGTTGATGAAGATGTCACTGCAGGAGATCTGAAACAACTGGGGGAGATCACAGAAGAAACTTTTTATCTTATCGGATGCACAAAATGATAGATTCAAGGCAAAAAGTGTGTTAACTACAGCATTGGTAAAAGCGAGAGACCACACAATGGACACCAACTGGACACACACTTTCCAACACATGATCTGTGTGTAATGTAATGGCTGACAAATGGCGGTGTATCTATCATAGGACATGACAGTCAACAGAAGAGCCTCAGAAGTGGTAAATAATAAAAAGAAGAAGACTTGGGTCATACAAGCTGTTATGGAAATATTCCGCCTATCGGTGAATAGATCAAATAACATTCGTGGGACGGTGACCGTGGAACAACAGAGGTCCAAACCAGCCAGGTTCCCAAGAAAGAAATACATAGGAACTTGGAGGTGAGAGTCGGTGACTATGAGGAACATTATCAGCGCATTCCAGATTATCGTCAGAAGGTAGATGAGGAGGAAGAAGAAGAAAGAGAGGGAACTGAAGAGTGGGAAGGTCAGACAGTCCAGAAAGAAAAAATTCATGTAAAATTGTCTGATTCCCCATTGCAATGTTTTCATACTCTTTATGATGAGACAAAAAAGTCAATAAACATACATAGAAAGCACGATTCACATCTTTATGTCATTATATGACTTGGTTTATGAGAATGGAAAATATCAAAATAAAAAAAAAGGAAAAAATAAAAAAAAACTTAACATTTGATACCAGAAACATGGGGCAGTTCCTCCTCACTATTAGCACTGCCAAATAATAAAACTCTTTACATTGAATCTCCGACTGCAGAATACAAAGAGCAGAGAATTTCACTTATCCCTTATCCAAGACACAGAGAAAAGTCAGTTTTTACTGCAGCATCACATATAAAATATGAATATATTAAAATACTCTAAATTTCCCTTACGAAAAGTATCACTCTCACCCTTGAAAGTGCAAACAAAATGTAAATAATATCTTTTCGATACTCCCTCACCTCCCACCAGTGCAAAACAGATACCAACAAATGTCCAGATATAAGTCCAAAAATGAGAGTCCAAAAATACAGTGCTTTCCAATAAGTAGTGTTTTTCAAACGTTAAGGGACCCTCCACTTTGCTGAATTCCAATCCAGGACCTCAAAATCAGGATACCTCAAAAAAATATAAACTCAATATAGTGCATTATCATTACAACAAAAAGAAACACTCGTGAAAACTAAAAGTGATTCCTCCAAACTCCCACCCGTGATAAAACAGCACTCCAAAAAAAGTGATAAGGTGCAGCACTCCACACCAGTGTTACCATCCAAATAAACTAAAAACCATTACCCTCTAATAAAACATACATCCAAATAAATCCAAAATGCCATCTCTCTTGTGGAATAAATACTATTACCCTCTTGCAATGCAGACCAAGCAGAATTCCTTCAAAGCAATCCAGAGTTTCCCCCTCTTCGGAAGCTTCTATTTGCTTCCAATCCACCTTCCCAGTTCCTCAAAAGGGGCAGATAGTACACAACTCAGTGAAGTATATATAAAAGGATTTCACAATTTATTAGTATCTTACATAAAAAACGCCAGCGTCCATCCTCTCCCACAGTCCATGTATCTGAATTCCAGTGTTCAAGATGGCCGTGCCGCTACTTCCGGTTTGAAATCGTATAGTACGTCCTTACGTCCTTGACGCGTTTCGTCACTTCCGACTTGTTCACAAGGGTTCCGGACGTCCAATGTGCGGCTCCTCTTATCCTACTCTAAGTACTGGCAAGACAATCGAGCCTCCATCTTAACTCATGGCAACATCCACCACTTACTATGTCTTCTAAATACGGCTATCATAAACGGAAAGGCGGACTACAATCACATTAAATACATCCAAAACTCATAAATATATTACAAACTCATAAATAATTACAAATTCACCTATTGGGAAACTCCTAAGGATAATAAAACTATAATACCTAGAACGATATAAAGTTAAAGGAAAAACCATTCCCACCCTCCTACTCCCCCTAATGTCCAAACGTTAAATAGCAACAAATTATCCATCCTATCCACTCATAATTTTCATTATGATGACATCAATATTATTATGTATATATAGAACACCTCCCTCTAATTCCTAATCCAATTACCACTCACTAGATCATATTAATATTATACGCGTCTCCTTCCTAAAAATGAAACCCTATATAAACTCTAAAATACAAAATAAAAAATATATATAAATATATATTTTTATATTAATAATTCCCTCTCACCATATAGATATGGACCCGAAGCATATAGACTAAATATAAAATATAAATATATATAAAAATACTAAAATACTCAATATTTTAATAATAAAAAACTCAAATATTTAATATACTATCTCCTGCAGCTCCAATATGCAGCCAACCCCCTTTTTTTTTAAATTATTAAAAATCAGAAATAAAACAATTAAGATCCAATTCAATATTCAAACCTCTAGGTTTTAAAGTGCGTAATTTATAGATCCAAAATGTTTCATTCCGAGAAAGCATCTGAATTCTATTCCCCCCTCTCCAATGAGATTCTACCATGTCTATCCCACAGAATTTTAATCCACTAGGGTCAGAATTATGAAATTTTTTAAAATGTCTAGCCACATTATGATTACTTTTCCCTTTGGCAATATTTCCTACATGTTCTTTCAATCTTTCAGATAGGGCCCTTTTTGTCCTGCCTATATACTGCAATTTGCAAGGACATTCTAACAGGTAAGTAACATATTTAGTACTACAAGTAATAAATTTTTCTACTTCATACCTTTCCCCCGTATTACATGACATAAAGTCATTAATCTTTCTGTCTTTAATGTTTGTAGTTTTGCATATCTTGCACTTTTTACATGGGAAAAACCCTGTCAAATTGAACAACCTCATACTTTTCTTATTAGGGGGTGAGATGAACCCCTTTCACTAAGCTATTCCTTAAATTATTATTTTTTCTGTAGATAAAAGGTGGTCTACTTGGAAGAAGGGAACCTAATGTAACATCTTTTTTTAAAATCGGCCAATACCTGCTAAAAATCTTTTCTACCTCTCTATACTGGCAATTAAAACGAGAGATAAAAGCATATTCAACTTTTTTATTTTCTTCTTTTACTTTATTTTCTTTTATAATCTTCCCCTCCCCCAAATAATTTTTACTAATTTGAAACCTAATGTTCTCTAATTTTATAGGATCATATCCTTTCTGTATGAAACGTTCTTTAATAATGTTCGATTGTGTGATATAATCATCCAATCTCGAACAGTTCCTCATGATCCTCGAGAACTGACCTTTGGGGATTCCCTCAATCCATTGAGGGTGATGACAGCTATTAGAAGGGATGAACCCATTCCTATCTGTCTCTTTAAAAAAAGTTTTAAAATGTATTCTATTATTATATTTAAAATATTGAGATCTAAAAAGTTAGCCGATTGTGCACAAATATTCTGAGTAAATCCCAATCCAAATTCATTTCTTCCAATAAAATCCAAAAATATTTCCAAATTTTCAACCGTTCCCTCCCAGACCACCAAGATATCATCAATAAACCTTTTCCAGATCTTTAACCCCTCCCAATGTCTTCCATATATTTCCTTCCATTCCCACCTAGCCAAAAAAACATTCGCCAGGCTAGGCGCGAACTTCGCGCCCATAGCAACGCCCTTTATCTGTTCATAAAAGTCTCCTTGATGCCAAAAATAATTTCTTCCCATACTGAATTCTAAAAGTTGCAAGATCAATTTTCTTTGTTTTCTATGTAGATTCGTATATTTCTGTAGGCCCCATTTTATAGCTGTGATTCCGTCATCATGCTTTATACTAGTGTATAATGAGTTTACATCAATAGTAATAAAAATGGTCTCCTCTGAGACCTCCATTCCTTCCAGAAGGTTAATTACATCCTGGCTATCTTTCAAGTATGAGGGCATATTTTTTAACTATAGGCTGCAAGAAGAAATCAACATATTGCCCTATTCTTGAATGGATGGAGTCTATACCATTTATAATAGGTCTTCCTGGGGGTTTTTCAAGGCTCTTATGTATTTTAGGTAATATGTACATAAAAGGTGTTTTACAATATGTAGGGATGAGATATCTCGCTTCTTTTTCATTTAAAATCTTATCTTCCTTGGCTTTATTTATTATTTTATGGAGCTGCTTCCTATAGAGATTAATAGGATTTTTTGCTATTTTCTTATATGTTTCTGTATCACTTAAAATTTCCCTCATCTCCTCCTCATAACTGCTTCGATCCAAAATAACAACCCCTCCACCCTTATCCGCTGGTCTAATCACTATATTATTTTTCTTCTTTAGTGACATAAGGCCTTGATGGAACAATTCTTCCTCTCTAAATTTTCGAAAGCTTAATCCATATAAGTCCTCAACTACCATCTGTTTGAAAACCTCTAAATTCTGATTTTTTGAATTCACAGGATTGAAGGTGGACTTATTCCTCAGATCACTATGTACAAATAATGATCTACTTATGTGATTAGCGGATAGGGATGGGCCTGGTAGTGACGCAAAATATTTCTTAATGTTTAGTTTTCTAATAAATCTATTAACATCAATATATGTTTCAAACTTATTTAAATTTGCCTTTGGAGCGAACTTTAAACCATTATCCAATACCTTAATTTCATTTTCTGTCAGCGGATGGGAACTTAAATTGTAAATCCCTTCTCCTAAGTGTTTTTCCTTTTCCTTTTGTTTTCGCTCTCTTTCTCCTTTTCCACATTCCCTGGATTCCTCTCTCCCTCTTCCCAATTTTGGGGAGCATGTCCCTCCCAATTGTCCCTGTAATTGTTTGGAGGATGTCTGGGTCCTCCTTTTCCCCAATAGGGTGGACAAT